GCTAGCCACACTAGTCAGACATAGAGGATGAGCAGGGGTGGCACACATTTAATTCCAGGACTCAGGAGACAGAGGCAAATGGATCTCTGTGAGTTTAAGGCCACCCAGGGCTACAGGAGAGAGAATCAGTCTAAACGACAAACAGAGCTCACGCCTTTAATCCCAGAATTAGAGAGGTATATAAGATAGGAGCAGGGTCTGAGGCGATGTCTCCAGGCACGCTGAGGACAAGATTCCCCTTATAGCCTTGGTAGAGGTAGGAGCTCTCTGATGGCTTGGCTGCTTTGCTTCTTCAGCTTGAACCCCAATATCTGTCTCTGAGTTTTTATTATTCCTGCTACAACCCTGTCTTCATCTTCATTACCCCAGAACTTTGTAAATAGCACACAGCACTGTACACATAGTAGACTTAAACTGTATAAACCAGACTTAGACCACATCAAAATTTTATGGTCATCAATATAGGAGAAAACTAGGAAATATTCTCTAGAAAAGCCCACCAGAAATTCCTGGCATCTAGCACCTCTCTTTGAAAAGAAGAGGGGACATAAGAAAACAGTGCTGTCATCCTGTGACTATACCAGCCAGATTCCAGAGTCAGGCCCCCAAGTCTTCCAGGCTGCCGGGTAGTCACCATCCAGACCAACAATGAGGCCAGAGCAAGCTGGTTCCCAGGCCACTGCCACTAGGCAAACAGATGCAGGTATACCATGTGTTCCATGCAGATGCTGATCTCGCCGTCACTGTAGAAAGCCCCATAGAAGCCCACGATGTATGGGGAGTTGCACTCATGCAGCACCTGCAGCTCCCGGATGATCTGGTTCCGGATTGCGGGTTTGATCTCCAGATGAATTAGCTGGGGAAGAGAAGTGAGGGGAAAGCGTTTAGGAAGGGGGGTAAAGCAGAAAGCCCTTCTTCAGTGATTTAAGTTCCTAAAGGTAAGAATAGAAACAGCTTTTTGGTTTTATTTTTAAGGTACTGATGACCAAACAGAGCCTTGCACATGCTATGCAAGTACTCTACTGCTAAGCTATATTCCTGCTCTCTACGTACTTTATTATTTTGAGAAAGGATTTCACTATATTGCCCAGATTGGCCTTAAAATCACTCTGTAGCTGAGGTAGAGAATTCACAACCTTCCTACCTCAGTCTCTCAAACACCCATTGTAGGCATGAACCACTATACA